TTTCAAAGACAGCACCAGCTGCCAAACTCAATGTAGAATAAGAAATTTATGAGCTCCTGTTTTTTTTTCTCTTCCGTCTTCATCACCAGAGGCCCTTTATATAGAAAAAAAAAACGACAATGTAGAATAAAAAATAATAAAATAAAGTAAAATGAAATGATGATGTTGGGAAGTAATGATGAAAGTAAAGAATAAAAAAATAAAAAAAATAAAAAAATAAAAAGCAACTCTGGTGGATCAATCCACCGAAAGAAAAAAAAAAAGAATAATAAAAAAATATAAATATAAAATAAAATAATAAAAAATAATAAAATAAAGTAAAATGAAATGATGATGTTGGGAAGTAATGATGAAAGTTAAAAAAAAAAAAAAAAAAAAAAACTTTGGTGGATCTGTGCCACCGAGAGAAAAAAAAAAAATCTTGGTGATGTACATGTTTTCTCTGTTTTTAGCACAATACACTAAATAAAACGAAGTATGTTCATTGATTTCCGAGTGATTACAAAAAAAAAAAAAAAAAAAAAAAAATGGCAGAAAGATGGAGTCTTCACAAAGGTTGTGTACTTGAGGCCCCACTACGTGGCAACACTCTCGGAACAGGAGGTATCGGAGCAAGAGGCATCGGAGCGGGAGACACCGAAGATAGATCATTCAAGGCCCCAAACCTTGGTGGAACGCTGGATGACCCAGGAAAGAGGTGCCTCTGGAAGAAAGCTGCAAACCGTTGACGATCATCAAGCTCATCAAGCTTCCTCTTCATGCCCGACGAATAGTTATTTGCAAGCACATGCAAACTTCTATTCTCGTACTTAAGCTGTTTAATCTTCTGCTTAAGATCTTCCACCTCTGCCATCAATGATTCCACTTGACGGGACCGAGCAAGCAGGCGTTGGCCCATGTTGGACACAGAGCCCACACTGAACACTAAGAGCGAGGGACTCTTGAACGGCCAACTCATCGGACCGTCCTGACAGCAGCCTACTATCTTTTGGAGTAAGGAGGTTCCTAGCTACTATTGTAGCTGTTGTGGCGTCCTGCATCACGGAGTCTTCACCTGTAAGAGGACCGTTAGAAGATAAGAAAGAAGGACACCATACATTACCTTGAAGCGGCGCAACCGGATCACTGCTGAGACTCAATTCTAAGCTAAGGTTCGATGGGTTAGCCATTTTTCAAAGGTGTTAAAAGAGATGGGTGGATGGAGTTAAAACTCAAAAGGCCGGAGATGATTTTCAGGAATGAGCAACCTTCAAAGTATGCATGTTACAGGTGATCAATACCTCTATAAAAAGGAAGAGGCGCTTGCTCAGAAATCAAAGAGGCGTTGGTTCAGAAATCGAAGGGCCGCTTATTCAAAAGTGAAGAGACATCGCTCTGCAAATCTCAAAAGCTGGATTTTCCGGCGTAAGTTAGGCGACGCTTTCTCGGCTTTCCAGAAAACGCGTTCAACTTTGTCAAAAGATCTCCGACAAAGTTGAAAACACGTGGAGACTGGCGACGCTTTCGCGGCTTTTCAAAGCACGGGTGCCACTTTGTCAAAAGATCACGTGGAGGTCATCATCGCAGCTACACGTCTTTAGCTGACAAGCGCAAAGTTCGGCGACGCTTTCTCTGCTTTTCAGAAAACGCGTGCCATTTTGTCAAAAGAGACGCTCGTGCAGAAATCGAAGAGGCGTCGTTCAGAAATCGAAGAGTCATCACTATTTCAAAAAGCTGGATTTGCGGGATCAAAACGTTTGTCGACAAGGGTAAAAGAACAGTACCACCACTTGTTATTGGGAAATCCCTATATATGTCGACCTTCATCTTTTATGGCAAGGCAAACCTGCAAACAAGAAAAAAAATGCCCAACTCTTCCTCACCTCCGAGAGTACACTCCCAGCAAAGCATCTCAAAATGCTCAGTTTTCTTCCTCTCCGAGAATACCTTTGCAAACAAATGACACCAAGGCAAAAGTATCTCATATCATCAAGGGCGAAAGCAAAGGTATCTCATATCATGCTTTTCCCCTATCTTTTCCTTTGCCCTTGTTCTCACCTGCCAGGACAAGGACAGAGAAAGCAATATGTCGGAACCTCCACTCAAACTTGCGCTGCCACCAAGAAGTAATGGTCCATTCAAATGCAAGGTTTGCATTCAACTCCTGCATCAGGAACAAATAGTACAAGAGAAGATGCTAAACCTGCATAAGGAAATACCACTTCTACAAAGGGGAGCAAGTAAGGCAAGTGAAAATGATGCATTGAAGCATGTGGAGACAAGCGACAACTGCATATGCTGAGCTATCCTCTAACCCTCTTCAATACGAATTGGAGAGATTGAATAAAGAAACAGAAAAAAAGGAGTAAGCTCAGACCTTCGGGGAAGACCAAAAGAATCCTGCTACCCAGTTCAAGAGTAGCACAAAGGAAAATCAACGATAGGGGGAGACCAAAAGAATCCTCCAGCCCAGTTCAAGATCAAGCCTTGATGGCCCTTGAAGAAATCATAAGTCCGATTCAAAATCAAGTGTTCACCACCCTTGAATCAAATTCAACTCCAGATCAAAGGAGTAAGCTCAGACCTTCGGAGGAGACCAAAAGAATCCTCCAGCTCAGTTCAAGAGTAAGCTTGTGGAAAATCAACGATTGGAGGAAACCAGAAAATCTTCCAGTCGAGCTCAAGATCAAGCCTCGATGGCCCTTGAAGAAATTTCCAGCCCAATTCAAAGATCAAGCCTCGACGGCCCTTGGGTTGACATCTACATTAAGGGACTTCAAAACGCATCTTCTACACGTGACAAGCACATGTCTACGACACGCCTTGAAGTGGGGGCATTTGTAGACATCAAAATTTCGGTGAAATAAATGTTGACCAAAAATTAAAATTTCAACGCTCACATATCACATAAATTTTACATGTAGCGTGTGACTCAACGAAAAATCGAAATAAATTGGAAAAGTCATCAAATAGGACACGTGTCAATACCTGGCAGAAATGATTTATTTCATCTGATTATTTAAATCCAAAAATCAAGTTTTGGAATTCTATAAATAGGAGGCCAAGACATTCATTTTGGAAGGAAGGAAGAAAGAAAGAAGCCTTGAAACTCTAAAGCTCTCAAGCAAATCCCGAAGAATCAAGAAAGCACTTTTCGTTCATCGTTCATCATCCATCAACCTTCAAGATCAAGCCCCAACGGCCCTTGAAGAACTTCCACCAACTCAAGATCAAGCCCCGACGGCCCTTGAAGAAAGTGTTCATCGTTCATCATCTGTTCATCCTAAGATCAAGCCCCAACGGCCCCTTTGGATCAACAACCTCAACAAATCCACACATCCGATTGTTCTTCAAGATTAAGCCCAGAAGCCCTTGAAGATCCGCTCATCTATCAACCTTCAAGATCAAGCCCCGACGGCCCTTGAAGAACTCCAACCAATTCAAGATCAAGCCCCGACGGCCCCTTGAAGAAAGTGTTCATCGTTCATCATCCATCCTCCTTCAAGATCAAGCCCCAACGGCCCTTGAAGAACTCCCACCAAATCAAGATCAAGCCCCGACGGCCCCTTGAAGAAAGTGTTCATCATTCATCAACTGTTCATCCTTAGATCAGGCCCCGACGGCCCTTTGGATCAACAATTCATCCACAAACCTACACCCTTCGAAGATAGAATCAGAGGACCAAATTACAAAGAGATTGTAACCCCAAAATCCTTAATACAAAAAAATATATTTTGTACACGTATTCTTGTCGCTTGTTTCAGGAATTATTCGTGTTTACAGAGGGGGACACTTAAAGGACACAGTGTTGCAATTCTGCTTGATTCTGGCAGCACCCATAACTTTGTGGATTCTCGATCACTTAAAAAATTGGGTTGGCAACCTCAGACTATTTCTGCCTTTTGAAGTCATGATTGCGGATGAGGGGAAAATTACAGGTTCTGGGTATTGCTCTAGCACACCATTGTCACTTGTAGCCTATACTTGTATTGTGGATGTATATGCCATTCCCTTAGGGGGCTGTTGTCTTGGGATTTTCAGTTAATGACACTTGAATTCCACAAGGATAATGTGCAGTACAAACTTTTTCACACTTAAGGAGCTTTGCCCTTGATTAAGGAGGTCTCCCTACAAAACTTTGACAAGGAAATGCACATTTCCAATATGGGGCTATTCTTATATTCCTTGGAGTCCAAGAAATTAGAAGCTTGTGATCTTAACCAAGCTCAACTAAAGGAATTGCAGGATTTAATGAGACACTTCTCTTCCATTTAATATGGTTCGAAATCAAGTATTCATATTGCAGGACGTGACAGCTCTCATGAGCAGAAAGGAATTATAACACTTCATACCACTCATCCTCCAAGTTCACTCCATTTGAACTGTTGTATGGATACCCTCTTCCTATGGTGGTTTCTCATGAGATTAGGACAACCAGATTGGATTTAGCATAACAATGTTTGAAGGATAGGGACACAATCTTATCTGTTCTTAAGAGAAACCTGGAAGTAGCTCAGCATAGAATAAGAATGCAAGCAAATAAGCACAGGTCTGAAAGGGAGTTCTCTGTTGTGGATTTTGTGTACCTCAGGCTTGTCCCTTACCAATTGCAAGCCCTGAATACTCATTCATTCCATAAATTGCAACCCGGGTTTTATGGGCCGGTGGGCCCTATGAGATTGTGGAAAGAATTGGAACGATAGCTTGTAAATTGAAACTGCATAAGGGAACAAAAATTCACCAGTCTTCTATGTCAGTTGCCTCAAGAAACACTTGGGTAATTTGGTTCAACCATAAACTGTGTTACCTGAGCTAAAGGAAGGTGGGTTGTCACACTCAGTGCCCCATACAGTATTGGCTCGAAGGATCTATAAGAAAGGACAAACAGGTGGGGTTCGATTGCTGATACACTATTTGGATGACGTTGATGAGAACGCCACTTGGGAAGACTTGGATGACTTCAAGATTAAGTTTCCAGATTTCAAGCTTGAACCTTGAGGTGTCATAAGGGGGAGTGATGTTAGGGTCTTCGAATTAGTGAAAGCTTAATCACTAAGTAATTTGGTTGTTAGCCTTTAATTGGTTGTTTTGTCATTTTGTTAAAAGTAGTTTGTGAAATGCTAAGCTGACACCCGGACTCTTTTAAATGGAGCAATGGCACCCTTGCTTTTGTAACGGTTATTTGAAAATAAAAATTATAAAAAATAGCAAGCACGTTTTCTGTGCTCTTCTTCCACCTTTCGTGTATCCTCCATTACTGCAACTTGTCGAGGTTGAGCTACCGGATTCTGGTTGGTAGCTATCATTCCCTCTCTCTCTCTAACCCCCACAAAATTTTGAACCCTAGCGCTCTTTCTCTCTCCTCTCTCTCATGGCGTCGGCCGCGCGGGAAGAGAAGCAGAAGCAGGCATATGAAGGATTGGGTGCGGGTGGAAAGATCCGGAAGACGCCGTTTCGACGCACCACCCAAGCGACATCATACGATCGGCCACCAACGATTTTACGAAACCTTCTGGAGCCGCCAACGATGGCTGGCTCTCGAAGCTCGTCGATCCGGCTCAGCGCCTCATCTCCGCCAGTGCCCACCGCCAACGCCTTCCTCCGCCTCAGTCGCCTTCAACAGGTTCGGCTTTGCTACTTTCCTGACTACCTTTGTTTACTATTCCAGGGGTTTCTTAGTTTTCGGGGGCATTTTGTTTGGGTTTGATCATTATTATATTTGGTTTTCTATGCATATTCATACGACTTCAAAATAATTAATTTGAACATTATGGGTATGGTATGCAGGATTTTCTGGATCTGGATGATGATGACGATTGTAATGGGGTTGCATCCGATTCAAGAGGAAAGGCGGAGGCAACTTCGATCAAGAATACTCCAGTTTACTATGAAGTGAAGACTTCAGCTTCCCCTACCGTATTTGCTGCCAGTTGGCAACCTGGTAAATCTCCTGTATTTGCTACCGCTTTCAACTCTACATCTTTGTCAACTGGGCTTTCTTATGTAGCATCCTCCGTTGCTCCTGCTATGAACAGTGCGCCTATTGTATCCGAGGATCCTCCATTGCCGTTACTACTTGCACTAACAGTGTGCCTTTTGGATTTGGAGGATCCTCAACTGCTGCTGCTACTACTAACAATGTGTCTTTTGTATTTGGAGGATCCTCCGTTGCTGCTACTACTAGCACTAACAGTGTGTCTTTTGTATTTGGAGGATCCTCCGTTGCTGCTACTACTAGCACTAACAGTGTGCCTTTTGTATTTGTTGTATTTGGAGGATCCTCCGTTGCTGCTACTACTACTAGCACTAACAGTGTGCCTTTTGCATTTGGAGGATCCTCCGTTGCTGCTACTACTAGCACTAACAGTGTGCCTTTTGTATTTGGAGGATCCTCGTCTGCCGCTGCTACTACTATCAGTGCGCCTATTACTTTTGGAGGATCCACGGTTTCTTCTACAAATAACAACAGTGGATCTTTGTTTCGGTCATCCAATGGTGCATCCTCAACTTCCATGTTCTCATTCACTTCAACTGCACCTACTAGTGCCCCATCACAGCCTCCATTTGGCAACTCCAATCCTGCATTTCCATTTGGTTCCCCAGGTAATAATGATCAAATGAATATGGAGGACAGTATGGCCGAAGACACAAATCAGGCATCGACACCTACAGCCCCAGGTTTTGGTCAACAGCCGGTTTTAACCTCACAATCTGCCTCTGTATTCGGAGGAACACCCGCAGCCCCAGCAGCAAGCCCCTTCCAAGCAGGCCAACAGAACCTAACCAACCCACAGAACCCTAACCCATTTCAGGCTTCTGGTAGTTTGGGTGCGAATCAGGGGTTAGGGGGAAGCTTCTCAGTTGGCTCCAGTGGTGCTGATGGTGACAAGTCTCACCGAAGAATAATTAAAGTTAAACACAACTGGCCCCGGATGAAGTAAAAACTCAGTGGTGTGGTTGTTAGGAGTTTCTCTGTTTGTCTGGGTGAATATTAGAGTTAAGAGATGGCTGTTGTCACCCACAATGGTTCGACACTGATGAAGGTATAACTCGGCCTTCTCAGGTTCTTGACGGGATGATTCTGTTTGCTTCACAGATATTTCTTTCCCTTTTCTTTGCACTACCGAGCCAAATTTTCGTGGTTGCAATGAGAGCGAAAGTTTTTGCAAATTTTGTACCAATTTGTAGTCGGAACGATTATGCCTTTGTTTTAGTACATGTAGTAGGTGAATGGTTTTGTATTAGTACTTGTAGGGGATAGGCTTCCTGGTTGGGTAATTGCGTTATCAACTCTTCTGTGTACTCTGCTATTTGTATCATAAAAGAAAACAGCTGTGAATGTCACAGCTTCTCTGCCGGCGACCTAATTTTTTTGATTCCGAATAAATGTTTTATTTGTTCCTATGCAAATTTCTTTCGGTACCTGTTCTGGCATTGTCTTTGTTTGGAAAGGTTTGTATGAGACAAGCTAATGTAACATCAGCTACGCACCGGTGCCTGAGATTATCATGATGAGTCGTTGGCCTGTGCTAGAGTCACGCGATTGACAACAATCCATTGAAAGGGAAAACAAAATCAGAACACTGTTACCAAACAAGCTTTCAGAAACAAAAACGACTCATTTCATCACAGTTACCAAATAAGCTTTAGTTTCAGTTTTCAAAAAATTGAAAACAGAAAACTTAAAACGACGAAAAGGTAGTCATGTGTTATATTATTTTCCAAGGAAACGTAATTATGCAAAGTAAAAGATATAATCTTAGAAGTTCAACACCTCCAAATGTCCAACCGAAACTAGGGTGTCATAATTTGTGTGAAAAAAGATTGCATCTTCCACCCGACCCTTGGATAACACAGTTGGCTCATATCTAATGTGAAGCAAAATGGTGACAGATGAATCAGCTAACTCTCGGACATCAATCCGTCACCACAGGCTTCGTGATGGAACTTAGTCCGGTGAGGTTTTAGTTGAGTCAATATAAAGCAATGCTAGAAAGGTTTATCACTTTTTAACACATCCAAGACATGAATCTGCCAATGCCAAACAGGAATATAACCTCTTCGCAGTCTAACATCGATCCCTACTAGAAAATATATCAACAGGAACAACTCAATTCACAATTAGAACAATAACGAAAGGATCAAGCACTAGCAACTCAGTTTGCTCATTTAGTTGGTTCAGCAGACTGAGTAGTCTTGACCTCTCTGGGGCACTGAGATACATATGGTTTGAGCTGCATGCAAGAACGGAAAAATGTAATTTAGAACTACATGTATGCACTTATCAGAGTGAGGAGTAAATTGTCCATTTATAGGTCGAATGTATTTATTAAAATAGCATAGTTGAAGTGTGTCAACGAAGCTGCAAAGTGTATCAGTGAACTTCCAACCGGAAGCTCTAACTTAAAGATGAATATTACGAAAGAATGAGAAAAAAATGAAACAAAGTAAGAGAAACAGAAACATGTTCACCTTGAAGTCGGTTAAATCTGGGACTACATAGTTAGGCAATTTCTCGTGCTGCACGACATACTTAGCTGAAAAAATTTAGACAATTTTAAAAACATGTCAAGTAGTAATTTTTACAAATTGAATGAGCACATCGTCAATTTCTTCCCCTTGTAGAAATCCCTAGGGGCACGTTTGGAGGAAAGAATGTCAAGTGATGACATTTGCTTTCAATGAAATGCCCTTCCTAACCCGAGTATTAGTCCCAATGGCATCTTCTTCACCTTTTATCACAATAAAATAAACCAAAACCAACCAGCAAATATGCTTAAAACATGAAAAATTAACAAAGAAATCAGCTCAGGAGACGGGAGCAAACAATGGTGAAACCAAGAATTTATCTCCGGACAATGAACTCAAAAATTTAAATCTTGATTAACAGTGCTTTTATTCAATGTTGAAGACAATATCACAAGTCAGAATTATCTTCGACACGTATTCATAGAACGTTGCATCATACCTCATTGTCTATACAATCAAAGTATACTAAATTTTGAAAAACACTAATAACATACCTTAGTTTATGCCAAGACCTAGTCACTTCACATATTCAACAATCTACCTTATATACTAATTCTATGGGAAAATGAAGGACATAAATGACTGCAACATTATGATGCATTCTTCTGAATAAGATGTGTATTGAATATCGATTCATCTTTCACCACATTTTTTTATTTCATGTTGGGGCATGGAAACAATTTAGTTAAACCTCCTAACTCTCTGTCCCGCCCGCCATGTCCTATATCACTCAAACCGAAAATTCGACAGACATTTCGAGATCTTTCCATTCCGCCAAAGGAAAGCAAGACTAGCAATTTGATTTTGATTCATGAAACTGCGTAACAAAAATTGAATTACTAATACAATTAAAAGTTTTAGCCTCCACCCAATTCAAATGTTTTGGTTTCAGAGGGAAATTTTCAGAAAGCTATGAGATTTCAAGCTATTTCAAAGATGTAGATCCAATTCAAGATTTTGGGTTAGGATAAAGGAACCCTTTTCATACTTACACACAAACTCACAGACCAAACAATACTTATTAATTAATTAAATAAATTGCACTAATCATGAGCAGATTAAACAAATACAATGGAAGGTGGGATATAGTAGAACTGTAGAAGGTACCTGAAGGAGGGCTGAGAGCGGAGGAGTGAGGTTCTGACTTTGATGTCTTCGTAGAAATGCTTGCTGGGTTTCTGGTCCGCTGCAAGCGAAGCCGAGTGCTAGAGAGAGAGGGGGAGGGTTTAGGGCTTTTCTTTTCTTATTTAAATAAAAATTAGAAAGAAAATAATGAAATGAAAAATGAAAATTGGATATGTCAATTTTCACATTTAAATTCTATTTTAGTTAATTACCTCCCTTAAATTTTTTATTTTATTTTGTCACTTTTTTTTTTTCAGGGTCCTAAATTTTCATTTGTTATTTCGTTTATTTTATGATGCGTGGACAACCAGTGAACCATTTAAATTGATTGTGTTTGGGGTGGAAATTAAGAGTGACATATAAGTACAAGGAGTAAACTGATATAATCTTAGAGCTTGTTTGATATAGAAGATTGAATTTTAAGAGGATTAGAAGAGGACAAAACATAAAGAAAATCTTTCTTCTAATCATCTCATTCGGAAAAAATTGGAAGTGATAAATTTTATTCTTGAGTAATTCATTTTCTACTGTCAACCAAAATTTTTTCATTTCTTCTTTCAATATACTATTTTTTTTTTAATTTCTTCTTTCAATATACTTTTTTTTGGGGTCAAAATCTTTCAATATATTTTGAAAATAATTGTTTATTCATTCGAATTCAATCCTCCATACCACATGGAGGCCATATACTCATTTTTCTTCTTAATAGAAATGAGAAAGCGAGTTTTCTTTCAACGGTAATTCCAAGGTAAGCATTTCACACTCTTTTTTCTTCTGCAAATGCTTGTTAATGTTTTTTTTATTTTATTTGTGACGAGCGATAACATTAGCGGGTTAAATAGTTAGTTGGTACGGAAGAGGAATCCATTCACTTTTTCATCCATTGTTTTTTCTTGTTTAATTATGTCTGTTGATTCTCATTAGAGTTATTCAATCTACTGACCATATATAAACAAGGATTTATAAGGAAAGGAAAAAGGTACATGAAAATCACTTCCCTTAATTTACACTAAACTTTGACTCTCACACTCTCTCTTTCTTCTTCTTTTTTATTTTTTGGGATAATGGTAAAAAAAATTTACCAACGAACATCTAAATACAAGAGGTCCAAATACAAATGACTTACAACAAAAGAAATGGACGCTAAGTTACACAACACAGGGCCCAAAACACAAGTTGGAGCCCAAAAACAGAAACACCACACCACAATAAAACCCAGCTTTCTGCAAACATCGATGCCGCCTACACAGTACATCCCTACCAACGCAATCCAACGTTCCTGACCGTGCCAAGAATCCACACCCTAGAAACGAGGAAGATGGTGACTCCAACATTTTGCTACGAACACCACACCGAACGCAACCACAGATCGAACGAAACCAATGGAGAACCCACCATCGACAATGCCAATAAAGGTATGTAAACAAATACAAGGTGGTTGTGTGTACACCCGAACCGAAGTTCTACACGCCTTTCAAAAGAACCGCAACCAAGTGTGGTGAAAAGAGTAAGGCCATTACGAATGGCAGTTCGGAGATGGATTTGAGGTTGAAGAGCAGGACTGCCACCGTCACTAACCTTAGCCATAGCTAGGCTGGCAACATTGGAAAATTTATAGAGATGGAGAACACTCACATCGATCTCGAATTGTTTCTTTCTTCATTTAGAAGAACATTTAACCTCAAAATGTATGTAAACTACTAATTCAAGGCACAATCTAGGTGGTGATGCATTGTCATCATCACATATATGAGTCATACCAGAGTCAATTCGTCAAACGCCTCTTTTGTTCTTCGCTTTCCCTGTTCAATATTGAAGACAAGTCCATATTTCAAGCTTCTTTCAAATTCCAATGATTGTTTTCAGTTGGTTGTTTTGAGTTTTGAAGAAATATTGCATGTAGAAACATTTCAACATTACAACAATCAATATAAGACATTCATCAAAATATTTGACAAATAGTACTCGAATTCACATAAATACTAACTAGGTGAGGTTATGACGGTCTTGGTTTGTTCATCTTTGGTGTAATCACACAAAAGTGCGCCCCTAAGCCCTTGGGTCAATAGAGTTCCCCATCCACCATGGTTGGGTAGTTAATAAAAAATTGATGGGCAGATTGGGGTTCGGTTCTGACCCAACCCGCAGACCAAGATATGTCTACCCTTGGCGTGCTGCCTGGTGTGGCATCTCACTACTCATTTACTTTTTGCAATCCACATCAATCCAATTTTTCCACTGCGTCCTGGTTTTAAACTCTCCCCTCTTCCCTTAATGTAGAATGTCACTTGTATTAATACTAACAAAAAAATCATTTGATTTTTCAGCCGCCCATATACCATATGCCATCCTATGTTTTTTATTTTTATCATTAGGAGAGTCAAGATTAGAATTTAAAACCTCTTTGATGTTATGTTTGGAATGAGGGGCTTACTAAGTATCTAAAAAACTGAGGCTAAATTAGTAAAGAACGCACTACAAAGCATTAGATAGAGAGATTTGAAATCCCGTTGACTTGCAAATCCCTCATCCAAACACACCATAGTCTGCAGTATTAACTTATCAATGTGTTTCCATTTTACAACATATTCCAAGTTTAAAAACAAATAGCAAATTGACCAAGTAAGCAGCAATGTATTTCTGCTGACATTTTTCTTCCAAACACTTGGAAATTGGGGAAAGCGAAAACTTTTTTGCTCAATCATTTCCCTACAGAAACAAAAGGTTTCATCTTGAAAATATTGGGCAACTCTCCCAGACAGTACAATAGCGATTGTGAATCTGGTGGCAGAACACACTTGTTCAAAGCCTTTCATTTATGTCTATTGATTCTTATTTGATTTATTCAATCCTCAGATCATAAATAAACAAAGATTTATAAGAAAAGAAAAAGATACGTGAAAATCACTTCCCTTAATTTACATTTTGACCCTCACACCCTCTCTCTTCTTTTAGTAAAACACTTGGAACTCAAAATGTATGTCAAGTATTTTCTTAAAATATATTGGTGACTACCGAGTATTTTTTTTTTAAATAATTGGAAATGGTAGATTGTTCATACACATTACTCTGTTAATTAAGACATGTTCTGGATTATTCTAACCCTAAAATTAGTAGCAGTAGTTTCATTTAGGCTAGGTTAGAGAAAGATTAACCACGGATAAGTCGCTCTTTAACGTCCTATGTAACAGTTTTCCGTGAAATTGCAGGTCTCAATTGCTAGGGCTCATTCTTGCAAGATCAGCTACTGAGAGTTACATGTGTACATTAAAACAGCCGGAGTTCGACGAGAAGGAATATAACGAGAGACACTTAATCTTTAAGATTACTATGTCTCACCTGGAAATTAATATTAGATCTTTCTATCGATCACTTTGTATTCAATTTTGAATTCCACTACCTGGTAAGTGGGAAAGTAGTTATTAGATAATTGCTAAAGTCCCACATCGGAGAGAGACGAGATATTAAATACGTTTAAAAGAATTTACAAAATGTTATGATATTGCCGAGCCTAGTAGCGTGGGCTTGTAACTTAGCAGGGCATTAAAGTGATTGGTTGCCTGCATGAAGCCTAACCAGGTGAGGTTATGGTGGTCTTGGTCTGTTCACCTTGGGTGAAATCGCACAAGTGCGCCCCTAAGCCCTTGGGTCAATAGGGTTCCCCATCCACCATGGTTGGGTAGCTAATAAAAAATTGATGTTCAGATTGGGGTTGGGTTCTAACCCAAGCCCCACAAACCAAGATATGTCTATCCTCGGCGTGCTGCCTGGTGTGGCATCTCACTCCACATTCACTTTTTGTAATCCACCAATCCAATTTTTTCGCTGCGCTCTGGTTTTAAACTCTCCCCCTCTTCCCTTAATGTAGATTGTCATTGATATTAATAATAACAAAAAAAATCATGCGATTTTTCAGCCGACCATATACCATATACCATCCTAAGTTTTTTATTTTTATCATTAGGGAAGTCAAGATTTGAATTTAAGACCTCTTTGAACGTTGGTGTTATGTTTTGAATGAGGGGCTTACTAAGTATCTAAAAAACCGACGCTATTTTAACGAACGCACTACGAAGAACATTGATGTTGTGTTTGGAATGAGGGGCTTACTAATAAGTATCTTAAAAACCAAGGCTAAATTAGTAACGAACGCGCTACAAAGCATTAGATAGAGAGATTTGAAATTCAGTTTACTTGCAAATCCCTCGTCCAAACACACCATAGCCTACAATATTAACTTATCAATGTGTTTCCATTTTACAACATAATCCAAGTTTAAAAACAAATAGCAAATTGACCAAGTAAGCAGCAATGTATTTCTGCTGCCATTTCTCTCCAAACACTTAGAAATTGGGGAAAGCGAAAAGCTTTTTTGCACAATCATTTCCCTACCGAAACAAAAGGTTTCATCTGGAAAATATTGGGATCTCTCAGACAGTACAATAGCGATTGTGAATCAGGTGGCAGAACACACTTGTTCAAAGAAGCACAAAAACCAGCTGACCACTAAACTGGATAGCGGTTTGATTAAAAACATTAGCCACAATCAAAATACGCACAACATCCACTCGCATTAACCGACGTCTGCGGAGAGGCTAGTTAATTAGAGATAATGCAATCGTATGTTGATAGCAATGTTTTGTGTTACATCCAAACCCAAGCTGAAAAACGAGTGTTGAATCATTGCATCGTCGACCTCAAACGAGATTATAAACTTGCTATCTAGCTACTAAACAAATCCCACTGTGACCAAAAGCGTTTCCGAGTCATATTATCTGCTAAAACAAATTATAAACTTAGAAAACTTATAAGAGATAACCTCAATGCTAAAACATATTATTAAGGAGTGAATTTTGAGAGGGTTAGGAGAGGATAAGACATAAATAAACTTCTTCCTTCTAATATTCTCATTTTGGAAAGAATTGGATGTGATAACTTTTATTCTTGAGTAATTCATTTTTTACTTTCAAGATAGCCAAATTTTTTTCATTTCTTCTTTCAACGTACCTTGAAAATAATTGTTTATCCATTATAATTCAATCATCCATACCATATAGAGGCCATATACTCATTTTTTCTTCTTAATAGAAACAACAAAGAGAGTGTTCCTTCAGCCATAATTCCAAGGTAAGCATTTTGTACACTCCTTTTCTCCTCTGCACGCACTTAATTAATTATAAATTATGTCTTTTCTTTTACATACGATAGCATTAGTAGGTTAAACAGTTAGTTGTTAGGGGAAAGGAGACTCCACTGATTTTTTTCTTGTTTAATTATGTCTATTAATGCTCATTTGATTTATTCAATCCACAAACCATAAATAAACAAAGATTTATAAGAAAAGAAAAAAGTATGTGAAAATCACTTCCCTTAATTTACACTTGACTTTGACTCTTACACCCTTTCTCTCTTCATTTAGTAAAACACTTGAACTCAAAATGTATGAAAACTTTTGATGCATGTTCTTAGAATATATTGGTGACTAATGAGAATTTTTTTTTTTTAAATAATTGGAAATGGTAGATTGTTCATGCATTTAATAAAGACATGTTCTGGATTATTCTAACCCTAAAATTAGTAGCAGTAGTTTCATTTAGATTAGGTTATGAGAAAGACTAACCAATGACAAGTCGCTCTTCAACGTCCCGTGAAATCGCAGTTCTCCATTGCTAGGGCTCATCCTTGCAAGATCAGCTACTGAGACTTACATGTTTACATTAAAACAGCCGGAGTTCTACAAGAAGGAATATCATACAGCTCTTCATCTTCCAAATGCTGAATTTATCTTGAGAACGGTAGAACAACTCGTTACAGTTTTA